TTTTTATTTATGAAAAATCAATTTTAATTTCAAAGAGAAATAATTTAATATTTCTAACTTTTGGATGACGTATGAAAAGGTTGAATATATGAAGAGTGATGGTCTATATATGAATGGATGACGTATGGAGGGTGAAAAATATGAAGAGTAATGGCGAACGGAAAAATAAAAGTGTCCAGGAGCGGGAATCGAACCCACAATCTTCTGCTTACCGGGCAGGTGCCATGTCCACTAGGCTATCCTGGACGATATTTCTCCGTTCGTAACTAATATTTAAACTGACTAATAATACTTATAAATGACTGCGGCGTATAATTATAAAGCTATACAACCAGTTTAACCGCATAAGTTTCTTTTTATAAATTATTTCTCTTTGAAATTAAAAATGATTTTTCATAAATAAAAAGAAACTTATTCGGTTAAACTGGTTGTATAGCTTTATTATTATACGCCGCAGTCATTTATAAGTATTATTAGTCAGTTTAAATATTAGTTACGAACGGAGAAATATCGTCCAGGATAGCCTAGTGGACATGGCACCTGCCCGGTAAGCAGAAGGTTGTGGGTTCGATTCCCGCTCCTGGACACTTTTATTTTTCCGTTCGCCATTACTCTTCATATTTTTCACCCTCCATACGTCATCCATTCATATATAGACCATCACTCTTCATATATTCAACCTTTTCATACGTCATCCAAAAGTTAGAAATATTAAATTATTTCTCTTTGAAATTAAAAATGATTTTTAATAAATAAAAAGAAACATGCGGTTAAACTGGTTGTATAGCTTTATAATTATACGCCGCAGTCATTTATAAGTATTATTAGTCAGTTTAAATATTAGTTATGAACGGAGAAATATCGTCCAGGATAGCCTAGTGGACATGGCACCTGCCCGGTAAGCAGAAGGTTGTGGGTTCGATTCCCGCTCCTGGACACTTTTTTTTTCCGTTCGCCATTACTCTTCATATTTTTCACCCTCCATACGTCATCCATTCATATATAGACCATCACTCTTCATATATTCAAACTTTTCATACGTCATCCAAAAGTTAGAAATATTAAATTATTTCTCTTTGTAATTAAAAATGATTTTTCATAAATAAAAAGAAACTTATGCGGTTAAACTGGTTGTATAGCTTTATATTTTATGTTTATATCACTAATTTGCTTTGTCACTTTATATTTTCTCTCACTTTATAAATTAGATGTTATTTACATTGTTTCATATTCTGATACCATGCTCAATACTATCGAGTATATTATTGCTCATTCTTAATTTTCATTCAATATTTTAACTTTCTATTACCCCTTATATACTGCTATAGTGTGTTAATCTTTGTATTATATCATCACTATTTTTACTTTTCTTTTAAAGATTACTTTGCATTTAACTTCGCAATTCTATTTTCGGTTTTTCAAATCCTTTAATGCTATATGCAAAGCCTTAATTTCGCAACTTCATATCTCAATATTATATATTCTTTTATAATCAAACTAAAAATCATGATCTAAAAACAGGGCAATCTTTAATAACCTCTTAATCAACCACTTTAAAGGTTGCTTCTTAATAAATATTATCATTCCTCTTACGCAGGAACTTTTAACTCCTTCGCAGGCTAGACTTGATCTACTTTGATTTCGTAATTAACAATATTGACACACCGTCCCCCAGATTTACCTATCCCAACTTCTGGCTTGGACACATGCAATTTGTATTTTTTATATATTCCAGGGCACTCTCATGCCACACGCTGACACATCTTTTTTTACTCTTTTTCTCGCTAAGCCCCTGATGACTCCAATTAAAACTTTGATTTCTGGTCACTGATCTTCGCCCTCATTTATCCTGCATGCGTACGTCTTAACGACTAATTCATCAAACCCATAACAATCACCCTTATCTTACTATTCGATTGTGGTACTGTAACTTTATTAGGTCCTTAAATTTACATGTGAAACATGGCCTAGGTTTTCCGCGCCGTGCACATTAAATGGTTTAGGACTTGAGTCAAGGTGACATTGCCTCAACCTAATCACAAATAACCCCTCAACCTTTTCTAACGCCCATCACGAAGAGATCATGATTTACCCATCCAATCATTTATATTTTTACATATCATCAGTATATGTTCTCTATTAAATCTTTTATTTCTATTTTTGTTTTTACTTGTATGTTTAGTATTAGTTGTTTATACTTTATTATCTCTTATGGATATACAGAAATCAACCACATGTTATACACCAACTCATTTCAATTAATTTTTAAAATATTACTTCCATAATAACAGTCTTCTTATTCCGCTCTTTTAAATCCCTCCATATGAACCCTCTCACATCCGGTTTCATCTGTGATGATTTAAGACCATGGAATTGTTGTAAATAGTCCAGATATTTACTACCACATGTTCCACCACGTGACTGTATATAACTTGTTATTTACTGCAATTAGAAAGCCTCAAGTACATCAATCTGTACCGCGTAAGAATCTAATAAAGTATAGCAACTGTACAGATAGAAGGAATGGAGAATAACAGGCGAAAATTAAGGTTAAAACTAATCAGGCTTAGGTGAGAATAGGAGAGAAGGCCTAGAAACTCCAGTCCAATTTTTAAGAGTTCGTGGCCCTCCTGGATAATAAACTTCCCCCCCTGTTTACGTCAGAAAAGGGCAGCGACCTGTTCGGACCCAGCTCAGCTATAAAAGGAGGCCCCGATCCTCAGTTAAGCAGTCCTTAGTTAGTCGTCGTTCCAGTCCCAGTCCACCGGACGCTCCGATAAAAGGTAAACCCTTTCCTGCCAGAAATCTCCTTGTCCCATTCCTTCTTGACGTTCAGACGCTTCTTAGTGGAATCTCTGTTTGTTTATTTCACCTTTGGCCTAGCTGTGTCGCCTTCCACCACGACTTCACGGTAGAGTTGACATCGAGGTTCGTCTAGCATCAGGTAACACTGATCCCAGAGGTCTCAAGATATAACAAATATATAAATCGAATTAATTATTTTGCTGGATATAAGTTATATATACATATATAATGATACTTTTATACCAACCAAATAATTACCTTTACTTTCTCAACTTTTTTTAGATGCCCTATCTTTCGCCGTTAATAATAAAACCTTGCTTAATAAAAAAACATTTATTTTTTTACAATTTCCTTATACTCTAATTTATATGAATATAACACAGAGTATTATAATATTTTAAACCAAATAAAATTTAATTGTGAGAACTGTGTATTTTCCTCGATATATATATATATATATACTTTTTTTATTATTTTAAGTGAATGCCCCGAAAATGTGTGTATACTCAATATAACCATTTCCAATAAGCAATTTTTTTCAATGACATAAGCTATAGTAAATGTGCTTAAGAATCGCATAATATCGTGAATTTTAAAAATAATTTTATAATTTGCACAAATATTTATATTGACACAGGCTAATTCTATATATTTTTTTTACTTAGCTCCATCGGTCTTATTTGACGAAACCTTTATAGTCACAGGGAATACATGAAAATTGTGAGCTCCCTCCTCTTCGAAATGATGAAGTTAGTAATGATAACCTTTTTGAAAACCATGCTTTTACTCAATATAAGCACCTATTAATGAAGATATAGAAAGATAAGGCATTTAATTCAAATCTTATAAAGTATATGAAAACGCACTGGAAAATAATACGTATGCAAATAATTCATATGTGTCATTAAAATAGTATTTTATGTTCTTTTCATTTTAATGCATAAGCTTCATTTTGGGCAAAATATTGATCTTAAATTTTTGTTTGTCTTTAATAACACGTTTTCTTGACCAGTAGGACTTGTTTTGCAGGTAGTTCGTACAAACCAGTTCCGTAGCACAACTGAAAAACACAGGAGAACAGTTACTATTGGAAATACCCAGAGTACTTATTAAATATAATCATTGCACAAATTTTTTACATGTGAATTGGAATATGTTTCAAACGGGGTTAATATTTTACCTTCTAATTTCAACATTACGCTAAAACATTTTTTCAATATCATTTGTTGGTTGGAAATTGATTTGAAAAAAATATCAACCATTAATTTATTTAATTCTGGAGGTTTCAGTGACTAGCATTCCTGAAGAGAGTAACAGCGAGTCTCTGAAACGTCGAGTATTTAATAAATTATTGTTGATGCAAATATACCTTTTCTAAAACATGTTTCTTATCTAAAACTCAAGAAGCAGCTAAAATATATAGTATTATTAAAATCTTAGTGAGTGCAAACAAAAAATCAGAATAGATATCTGTCATATAAACCAAGAAACAATGATAGTTACTTTGATAAATTTGAGTTTGTAAATGACATAATATTGTTATTGCGTGTGATGGTTATTAAAATAGGACTCACCTCATGCCTAGGTGGATCCTCGGATTTTTCCATCTTCAACAACACCTCTATCTTTATCGACCACCAATTGTTCTGGAAGAAAACCACCCAACTCTCTTTGTAACTTACAATATTCAACAACAACAAAAACCTTTATTAAGACACTATTGTCTTACAAGGGGATTCCTCTAAAAGGTTATATATGAACATGAGTGAGGAGGAAAAGCAAATTTGAGGGGAGTTGAGCAATCAACCGTTGTTTGTGGAGTTGAGCTTTTCTTCCCTCATTTTAGCAATCGCCTTGAAAATTTTTAAATATTTATAAACAAATTTTTATCCAGCAAGAGATTAGTAAAAAAATTTATATACATGTTGTTCATTATAGTGAGTTAGCCCCGAAATTTTGCGAATTTCCAGTCTCTTTTCTTGTAGGAATGGGAAAAGGAATAGAACTTACAATATTCTTCAATTGAATACATGGGTGATATATCATGTTTATTTTCAATATAAGTTGATTTGAAGCTCATATTTCATATTTACACATTAAAATATACAAGTATTAGAGTCATCAACAATCAATAATTCTGTCACCGTTTGCTTTTGTGAATGGAATAAATACCCAAATATGCCAATTTATTATAAGCATCGGTGGTTCAATGGTAAAATGCTCTCCAGCCACGCAGGTGGCCCAGGTTCGATTCCCGGCCGATGCATTTTTTTTTTACAATTTTTAAAACGCATTTATATTATTACTAGCGGATGTACCCGGCTTCCCCCGGGTTTTACCCTAGTAAAGGTTTGTCTAACAAACATTTGTTAAAACAATTCTCTATAAACTTTAAAAAAAATGATAGATATATTTTGATAATTTGAAACTCGTAAATTTAAATCTCTCGATAAAGTGAACATTTTTTCCCGGTACCTTGAAAAATACTCAATAAGTTGAATAAAATCAATATTAATTGGTTCCCTCGGTAATTGGAAGTTAAAGGAATAGTATCTTTGCCTTGGAATTGTATCATTATTCTTGTCTCAAATAAATTGCATTGTCATCCTGAATTTTGTCTTTCCTAATTTTCTACATTACAAAATCATCAATTTATCAATTCTCCCAATATATATTTTGTAGATAAATGATAAAACTAACTTTGACTTGTGCGCAATTAATAGGTAGAAATTCTTACTTTTGATAAATAATCTCTAAGATAATAAACTTAGTGATAATAAAACTTATAGATAAAAACCTTGCTATCATCGTCGCAATGGGGCGCTGCTTTTGAGGTAAATCTACAAATCTGCAAATAACTCTAAGGATATTCAAAAAATTATTTTTCAAAAACCTTACCGGGGATATACCTAATAATATCCCAAAATTTCACGGCGATTGGATGTATGCTTTTTGAATCTATAGAGTACAAACATACAGACAGACATTCAATTTTATATATACTAGCGGATATACCCGGCTTTGCCCGGGTTTTACCCGAGTAAAGGTTTGTGTAACGAACATTTGTTAAAACAATTCTCTATAAATATATTTAAAAAAATAATAGATATATTTTGATAATTTGAAACTCGTAAATTTGAATCTCTCGATAAAGTGATCATTTTTTCCCGGTCCCTGTGTGCCGTGTCATCCTGAATTTTGCCTTTCCTAATTTTCTACATTACAAAATCATCGTTTTATCTAGTGAACATTTTTGCCTGGTCCCTTGAAAAATAATCGATAAGTTGAATAAAATCATGGTCGTTTATGGAAGATGGACGAAGTTCCCGGAGGTCATCTTGGGCAAGCCCCCGCGAGGCTTTTTTCTTGTCTACTTGGCACAGCTGTGTCACCAACTCTGCCCCCGCGCGCCAGGACCTCTTTACCCCTCTGATTGGTCGGTGGGTACTTGGACTGTCCATCCGGCCGGCGGCCGGACGATTACATTCTCTCGACAGGGGGTGGGGCAGACCTAAGCCTATCTCCGTCGCAAGGTTGCGCTGCTTGCGAGTTAAAGCTACAAATCTGCAAATAACTCTAAGGATATTCAAGATATTCAAGAAATTATTTTTCGAAAACCTTTCCGGGGATATACCTAATAATATCCCAAAATTTCACGGCGATTGGATGTATGGTTTTTGAATCTATAGAGAACACACAGACAGACATTCATTTATATATATGTATATTAAAAAACGAAAGAAAAAAATAAAAGATAAAAAGATCAGGTTTTGAAATCAATATTAATAATGGCATATCCTGACCAGGAGCACATGTGCTTTACAGAAGGCAGAGCGCCATCTGGTGGAACAGAAATCAACTAAACATTGATTTAGCCTGTTCCTTGATATTTGGCCAACCCAATTTCTTGATAAATCAAGAAAAGCCATCCACGAACGCGTTTCGCGCTTTTGGCGCTCGTCAGCGTGGAGTAGGCTGAACCACTGCGACCACTACTCCACGCTGACGAGCGACAAAAGCGCGAAACGCGTTCGTGGATGGCTTTTCTTGATTTATCAAGAAATTGGGTTGGCCAAATATCAAGGTACAGGCTAAATCAATGTTTAGTTGATTTCTGTTCCACCAGATGGCGCTCTGCCTTCTGTAAAGCACTTGTGCTCCTGGTCAGGATATGCCATTTTTAATATATATATATATATTGTTGCACCAGGTTTCGGCTTGGCAGACTCTTCAAACTTGGTCCTCTCCTGTGCTGGGTCTTGTATTTTACCAGAACGTGTTTCAGCCATCCTACAAATGTATATAAGGGAATAATGAGATAAGTCTACTTTAAGTAGCCTCCAGAATAATTTATTTATCTCTCACATCAAAGAGAGCAGTAAAGTCACACGTGTATCTAAATACAAATGATGATTCTATAATACATATATTCTGTTTATAATACATATATTCTGTGTTTAATAAAATAAATAAATATAAAATATAATTTTGAATTTAAAATATATGAAAAATAATATTACAAATTAAAATAAAATAGGTTCATTAGCCATGATGCAACACTTCCCCCTCTCCAGAGGTCGTCACGTTCTCGTGAGTTACCTCATCAATTCTCTCAAAATAGGGTTTGAATCTTGAGACATGGACAATCAATGGGTCTTGGCCAGGATTATCTTTCGGCTCAATTAAGTAATTTACGTTAGACAGCTTCTTTAATATTCGATATGGGCCAAAATATTTTCTCAATAGTTTTTCACTTTTACCGATTTTCCTGGCTGGTGTCCAAACTGCCACTAAATGTCCTGGTTCATAGATTTTTTCATTGTGTTTTTTGTCATAGTTTCTTTTCATTCTTTCCTGAGTCTTCTCTGTGTTTTTAATGACTACCTGTCTCGTCCTTGCTATTTTATCTAAGTAGTTTTCTATATATTCGTCGTAATCGTCCATGTTACTGTCCTTTGGGATATTCTCGTCGTCTAAGAGGGACATGGGTTCCCTTCCAAACAACAGGAAAAATGGAGAGTAGCCTGTGGTTTCTTGAATCGTGGTATTATACGCGTGGGTGATAAAAGGGAGGATTTCGTCCCAGTTCTTCTGGTCTGTGTTCACATACACGCTGATCATATTGACTAAAGTTCTATTTAGCCGTTCCGTTAGTCTGTTAGTCTGGGGGTGGTAGCTCGTTGTGAAGCAGTGTTTAACTTTGCACATTTTCATTACCCCCTTCTTCAAATTGCTAGTGAATTGTGAACCTCTATCGCTAATAAGAAATCTTGGGGCCCCGTGACGTAAAATAATATGTTCGATTAAAAATGTAGAGACTTCTTTCACTGTCGCTTCTGGTACTGCCTTTGTTTCAGCATACTTGGTATAATAATCCGTCAACACAATTATCCATTTCCTTCTTCTTTTCGTTGATGGCAAGGGGCCAACAAAGTCAATTCCGATTCTTTCAAAAGGGTGGTTAGCTGGGGGAATAGGTTGTAAAAGTCCAGAAGGCAAGTGATTTGAACCTTTCCGAATTTGGCAAAGATAGCACGTCTTTACAAATTCTGAAACATCTTTCAACATGGAAGGCCAATAGTGTTTATTCTTCAATCGGTAAGTGGTTCTGGCGACGCCCAGATGGCCATTCAGCATATGGTTATGGTATTCACTCATGATTTCCTTCCTTCTCTTCTTTGGCACTACCAGCAACCATGCCCTACCTTCAGGATTTGGATTTTTCTTGTAGAGACACCCATTTTCTTCTTTAAAGTTCTGTGTAATTGAACGCTTGTTTCCACTAAGGTTCTCCTTAATATTCTCAATAAAATCATCCTTTTCGTCTATTATTTGATTTAGAAATAGTCTCTCATAATCTTCGTCCCATTCGTTTTCCGGTAAGGGTCCTCTAGATAGACCATCAGCGTCCAGATGTTTTTTACCAGATTTGTGTATAATTTCGAAATTATATTCCTGAATCTTCAGTGCCCATCGTGCTAATCTGCCGGTCGGATCTTTCAGATTCTTAAGCCAGCATAGTGCATGATGATCAGTTACGATTTTGAAGTGCCTTCCATATAAGTAGGGTCGTAACTTGGACATTGACCACACAACAGCTAGACATTCTTTTTCGGTAGTCGAATAATTTTGCTCAGGTTTGCTCAGTGTTCGACTTAAATATGAGATCATCTTTTCTTCATCGCCGAACTTTTGGACTAATGTTGCACCCAAGCCGATGTTAGATGCGTCAGTATGAATGTAAGTAGTTGCATTCGGATCAAAGTGCCCTAATATTGGAGGATTTATCAATGCTACTTTAAGGGTTTGAAATGCTTTTTCTTGATTTTCTGTCCAGGTAAAAGGTACATTCTTTTTTATAAGACTGGCTAATGGATCGGCAATTTTCGAAAAACCTTTGATAAATTTTCTATAATATGAACACATTCCTAAAAATGATTGAACTTCTTTTATCTTTTTGGGTCGAGGAAAATCTTTAATAGCCTTGATATTATGTTCCGCTGGTTTTATACCATGTTGATTAGTTATATGGCCAAGAATCTCCAGTTCCTCGAAAGCAAATTGGTATTTTTTGTTGTTCAATTTTAAATTAGCCTCGCGAAAACATCTTAGAACAGCTTCTATTCTTTTGAGATGTGTTGAAAAATCCGAACTATATATTATTACGTCATCTAGATAACATAAGCAAATTTGCCATCTAAGATTACCAAGCCTATTTTCCATGTTCCTCTAAAATGTAGCAGGGGCATTGCATAGTCCAAAGGGCATTACGTTGAACTCATATAGGCCATGTGCTGTAGTGAAGGCTGTCTTTTCTTTATCTTTCTCCTCAACCTCTACTTGCCAATATCCTGATTTAAGGTCAATTGCTGAAAAGTATTTGGATCCTTGAAGTGTATCCAATACTTCATCAATTCTGGGAATTGGGTAAACATCCTTCACTGTTACATCATTCAATTTTCTGTAGTCAACGCAAAATCTGTACTTACCATCTCGCTTCTTGACCAAGATTACAGGGAAGGACCATGGACTCGAGGATGGTCTAATTATGCCGTCTCTGAGCATTTCATCAATTTGTTCTTTTATGATTTCTCGCTCTTTCGCGCTCACCCTATACGGCTTGTGTTTGATCGGTTTCGCGCCTTCTGTATCGATCCGATGTTTCGCTAAGTTGGATCTTCCTAATCCCGACGAAAACAAATCCTCGTACTTTTCCAAAACTTGTTTCAATTGGTCATTTTCCTTATATGATAAATTTTCGTTTAT